ATGAGTTAACGTAGACATTGTATACGCTGACGTAGCCATTGTATAAGCTAATGTAGATATTGCATAAGCTAACGTAGCCATTGCATAAGCTAACGGAGTCATTGTATTAGCTAACGTAGTCATTGTATTAGCTGACGCAGTTTTTGTATTAGGCTGACGCCATCATTGTATTAGCTGACGCAGTCATTGTATTAGCTGACGCAGTCATTGTATTAGCTTAAGTAGTCTTTATATCTGCTTACGTATCATTGTATTAGGCTGACGCCATCATTGTATTAGCTGACGCAGTCATTGTATTAGCTGACGCAGTCATTGTATTAGCTTACGTAGTCTTTATATCTGCTTACGTATCATTGTATTAGCTTATGTAGTCATTGTATTAGCTTACGTAGTCATTGTATTAGCTGTCGTATAGCCGTTGCGCTATTTCACTTATTTGATGTAGTCATTGTACTTTTTCCCATCAAAATTACGCACAAGAATAGAAACAATACTCTCTGAAATGAAAACAACGTCTCCGTAAACAGAAAACACCAACAATAGCCTCGTTCACACGAGACCTCGTATTTATGAAATACGGTATTTAGCGTTCACACGAGGAAATGCGTGATCCAAGAGATCCGGTATTTCTCAAGCACGGCAAATTATTTTGGGTCTGGGAAGCCGCGTATTTCAACAAATACCGAATCTGTTTAGATACCGTATTTCTTGGACCGCGCATTTTGCCTCGTGTGAACGCTAAATACCGAATTTCTCAGCTCCGCGTGAACGCGGCTAATAACTGGCAAATTCGCAATCGATCATATGCATTCCTTTTGCAAATACAAAAATACATTTAATATCAGAAACCCTAACATAAAAAATAGAAAACGTACTATGACTAATGTATAACACTTTTGTAAATGAAAACAACTCAATCTAAAATAAAAAGATTTCCGTAAACAGCAAACACCAACAGTGAAAGGGAAAACTTTACTTAGCAAATGTACAGTACTCTGAATGAATCAGACAGTATTCCGACATGAAAAGAATGAGACAGCACAATCTGGAATTGAAAGTTCTCATCCGTAAACAGAAAAGTAAACTTCTATATAAGTAAACTTACATCAGCGGTAACATTGATTTAACGATGTGCGTGCGTGCGTGTGTGAGTGCGCGCGCGTGTGCGTGTGTGTGTGTGTGTGTGTGTGTGTGTGTGTGTGTGTGTGTGTGTGTGTGTGTGCGTGCGTGTATGTGTGTGTG